AGTCTGGTAAAGGCAGGACTGAGCTGTATCGCTGTAAACATCACGCTCTCTGTGGTGTCGCTGCACTAATCATCAAATCTTGGTTAAATAAAACACAAAAAAGGGAAATGGGAGTTTGAGCAGCTCCTCAGCAGCAGACACAACCACTGCTGGACTCCACTACATTAGACTCGGCGTTTATTTGGAACCGGTGGTTATTTATCAAAATATACACCTACACCCGCTGTTTAAAGTGGACCCAGCGGTTAACTGAATCTCTGTTATTATTTGGTATTTTATAGTATGTTCTAATGTTGTTTTCTTCATCGCAAACAGACCTGGATTTGTGTTTTGTTTCATTCACACGTTTAACACACAAACCCTGAACATTTAAGATGAATTTTTCTCTCAAACTTCACTTGTGATGTCATCTGGAAATACAAGAAGTGCTCCACTGTGTTTTTAAAATGCACACACCTTCATTACAATCATTTAAGCCTCAGGAATTGTTAATCTCTACCGAACTGAAGGTAAAAGGAGCTGTTCACTTAAACTACCGCTTCATGACATCACAAGATGGAACAGAGAATTTGAGGTTTTGGAGATGTAGACAGATTAATAATAAAGGATTATTAAAACATGTGAATGAAACAAAACACAACCTTCAGGTCTGTTTATGAGGACGTAACAGTATTATAACATGGTTTAAAGCTCACGAGAGTCCATTTCACACAGTATAGGATCTTTAAAGTGATAACACGTAACTTTCAGGAGGTGGAAAGAAGAAACAGAAGTTAAAGCCATATTTTGGGACATTCTCCAAGCAGATAGATACATTTATTGAAATACTGTGGAATAGTATACTCTTCCAGGCCAAGAGAGTTAAGAGTAAAGAGTAAGGTTTGTGCTTTACAACAATGAACCACTAGGCCAGACATGTCAAACTCAGGCCCAGGGGCCAAATTGGCCCACGAGATCATATCAAATATGCATTAGAGCTGCTCACTGGCTACAGATAGACTATAGAGACATTATTTATTCAAAATGTAATTATTTTATATTATACTTGTTCTGGATTCAATGTTTAAGCAAAACTATTATGAAACATTTATTTTAATAAGAAAAGGTTTAATGTTACGTATCTCAAAAGAAGAGAAAACATGCAGATGTTGTTGAAATTTTCCAATAAATATTTAGTTTGGCCCACAAATTAGTCCAAGTTTTTAATTTTGGCCTCTGTGAATTTGAGGTTGACACCCCTGACCTAGGCACAAGGGGGTTAAGTGTCTTGCCCAGGGACACAACAGCATTCATTCATTTAAATAAATACAATAAAAATGCAAGAAACTATTTATTCCAGCTTTTTATTTATTCCAAACGCTCCACAAAGTCATGCTTGAAAACATTTAACAGAACGTGTCTTTATCTGTCTCCTGGTGTTTTGAAAATGTTTGCTAATAATAATAACACTTTGAATAGTAGAAATGTGACTATTTACACACCACAATGCAAATACTCTCATGCTTTAGTTCAATAAAAACATTCCATTTAAACTGTCCTGCTGAGGTCCTGTGATGAGCCCAGGTTAACCCGGACTTTGACCGACTTCCCCAAAACTTTACTCAGATGTGACTCTGTTCAGCGGTGAAATCAGTTAACCACGGGTGAGCCAATCAGGGACACACATGGTCCATGGAAAAAAAAAAAAATATATATATATATATATATATATCACAAAGGACTGAAAAACATGGCGGATTTCTGCAGAATCAGTGAGCGAAGCTCTAAACACTAAACTCTGTTCATCTGACGAGAGACAAAAGTCAAGTTTGTTTGTAAATGATGATGACCAATAAGCTTCTTATCCAATCAGAAAGCAGAATGAGTCTCACATGACTCTCTCATTTTCGTTGCCAGTTTCCAGTTGGTTTAAAAATTGAAATGAATGATCTGAATGGTCTCTAAACCCCAGCACCTGCAGCCATCATGACAAATAGATAAACAATACTTCATTTTTTGGCATAATAATAATACAACAGTAATTCAGTTTATAAAGATGCGTTATATGGCATGTGAATCTGTGCTAGTGGGTAAATTTCACTCCATGGTCTTTGTGTGTCCTCTGTCTGCAGGTGAACGCTCTGGACCCAAGTTCAGTTGTGATTGTACTTGATTTAAAATGTAAAAGTTACTTTTAATAATACTGTTTTATATAGAACAGCTCTTTTGACACACGTGTTGGAGTCCAGTGTGGTGTTTAGTCCGGAAAACTATTCTGATGATCAAAACTATGCTGATTTTAATGTCAGATTTGCAGTGTTGGGAAGGTTCCTTTTAAAATGTATTCCCCTACAGATTACAGATTACATACCCCAAAATGTAGTTTGTAACGTAATCCATTAAATTACTTAAAATGAGTAATGTAATCTGAATACTTTGGATTATTTATTATGCTATTGTCATGTTTTTTTAAACTACACGAATGTATCAACCACATCCTGAAAATTCATGTTTGTTCAGTCTTTATTTGACCATATAAAAAATATTATTGATAGAAAAATGATTTTTATATGAGATCACTGCTGCCTTCAGTTATGTCCACCTACTGTTAAGTGTCATGTTGTATTAGTTTAGTCCTGATTTAGTCCTGGTTTTCGTCCTGGTTTTAGTCCTGGTTTAGTGCTGATTTAGTCCTGGTTTAGTCCTGGTTTAGTCCTGGTTTTAGTCCTGGTTTTAGTCCTGCTTTAGTCCTGGTTTAGTGCTGGTTTAGACCTGGTTTAGTCCTGGTTTTAGTCCTTTAGTCCTGGTTTTAGTCCTGGTTTTAGTCCTGGTTTTAGTCCTGGCTTAGTGCTGATTTAGACCTGGTTTAGTCCTGGTTTTAGTCCTGGTTTAGTCCTTGTTTTAGTCCTGGTTTAGTCCTGCTTTAGTTCTGGTTTTAGTCCTGGTTTAGTCCTGGTTTAGACCTGCTTTAGTCCTGGTTTTAGTCCTGGTTTAGTCCTGGTTTAGTCCTGGTTTAGTCCTAGTTTAGCCCAAAATGTGAAAACAGGAAAATCCCGCCGTGTAATCCATTTATTTCAACAAAGTAACAGTAATCCAATTACCACTCACTGAAACAGTAACTGTAACTGAATACAGTTACTCATCATTTGTACTCTGATTACATAACTCCAGTACATGTAATCTGTTACTCCCCAACACTGCAGATTTGTCATGATTCTTTTTTGTCACGTCTAACCCTGCCCTCTGCTCCAGACTCTGGTGTTACAGTAGAAGTATGAAACATTCCTCTATATTATTTAAGTTGATGCAGATACTTTATGGATCTCAGTTATATTGCACATGACACATTCTCAGGTTTTGTCTTCATTCACATTCGGTTTTCATGCTTAAATAACACTAACACTAGCAGAGATGCATCAGCCCAACGTACTGCTTCATATGCGGAGCTATAAATAAGTGAAGGCATCCAGAGTTTACCGTAACGAAGCCATTCCCTTAAATGTATTCACACGTGCGTAGTTTCTCAAGATGCATTACCAGGACGGGTCTTCGTGTTGTTCTGTCTTTGGTCATCCTCATTTCTATTTTTGTTCAATTGCACTTTAAGACTTTAAAAAAATATCTTCTATCAAACAACCCCCGATGTTAGCAAGGCCTTTATTTGATTTAAAGTGGAACTAAACACTAACTCATCTACCACACTGTGTACATGGTGTTTGAACAGCATTATCTACTCTTCCACGTAATCGCTTTGGCAAATTTAGTGCAAACTAGGTAAATTTGCAGTGTTGTGTTCAAAAACTGAGTCTCCAGTGTCTCCAGTGGCCTCTACAACTTCAAGTACTATGTGACGTCACACAGGACTTCCCTGATAACATTTGTCTGCAGGGGCGGAGTTTGAAGTGTGGATACCTGTTAGACCAATCACACTGCTCCTTACACCTCCAGACCCCTCCTCTCCTCTCCCTTTAGTCCTCCAGACCCCTCCCCCTTACTCTTCCTTATGGTCCTCCAGCCCACCCCACACACACACACTTCCCCTTTAGTCCCCCTCACTCTCTCCTTTAGTCCTCCAGACCCCACCCTTTTTTCCTCCCCCCTCACTCTCCGCTTGAGTCCTTCAGACCCCCTCCCCACACTTTCCCTTTAGTCCCTCTCACTCCCCCCTTTAGTCTTCCAGACCCCTCCCCCCTTCCTTTTAGTCCTCTCACACTTCCCCTTTAGTCCCCCTCAGTCTTCCCTTTATTCCTCTAGACCCTGCCCCTCCCTCACTCTCCCTTTAGTCCTCCAGACCCCTCCCCCTCACTCTTCCCTTTAGTCCTCCAGACCTCCCCCCCACTCTTACTTTTTAGTCCTCCAGACCCCCCCCATGCTTCCCCTTTAGTTCTCCAAACCCCCGCCCCCTCACTCTCCCCTTTAGTCCTCCTGACCCCACCCTTTTTTCCTCCCCCCTCACTCTCCCTTTAGTCCTCCAGACACCCCCTTACGCTTCCTTTTAGTCCTTTAGTCAAACCCCCTCCCCACACTTCCCCTTTAGTCTCCCTCACTCTCCCCTTAAATACTCCAGACCCCTCCCCCCTTACTCTTCCTTTTAGTCCTCTCACACTTCCCCTTTAGTCCTCCAGACCCCGCCCCTCCCCCCACTCTCCCCTTTAGTCCTCCAGGTTCCGCCCAGACCGCCAGCTCCGTTTGAAACGCGGTTGTGGGCGGAGTTAGGTGTTTAGTCCCACTTTAAAAGCAGTAAAATCTCCTCTCATTCATTCTCGTTCTCAAACCCCGCACGCCGACGGCCCGTCACTGTCAGCCAATCACAACCTGCGTCCTTCTCCTCTCCACCAATCAGCTCTCAGCTCATTCATTCAAATACACTCTCCCTCTTTTTCTCTGCCTCTTCATCTCCTCCTCTTCACCTCCACACAGTCACTTTAACACTTCGTTGGCGTCTCAACCTGCCAAAGTTTTGTCTGTTCCCACAAATTCAAAAAATTTTTCATGCTTAAAACTGGAAGTCCTTTTCAAAGTCATATATTGAAGACGGGCGGTCTGTAGTAGGACAAAGGTTTCTTCATGCTTTGTTTCCGGTTTTCTTTGGTTATCGGTATGAGCACCACGCCCACAACGAAAACCATCAGCCCGATCGAGAGCAGCGCCGGGCCCAGGATGTTGGTGACCTTCCTGCAGTGTCCGGCGAAATAGAGTCCGCTTATGACCACGCCGCAGAACAGGAAGCTGCCCCCGGTGGACATGAGGTGTATGGGCAGCCAGTAGACGTCAGAGCAGCGCGGCGGGGCGGACGAGGAGGAGGCGCCCGAGTGCTGAGAGGAGTTCCACAGGGACTCGGCCCGGGACAGGCTGAAGACGGTGCTGTCGGTGCGGGAGAGGGGCGGGGACAGCTGCTCCTGCGACTGGGACAGGGTGCACTCTCCCAGGGCGATGGTCTCTGGAGCGGGCATGGCCTCCAGAGGGAACAGGCTGCACAGGAGAAGAGAGACACAAGGTTTAAAGAGCTCATGTTACACGATTCTCTGTGTTATCATCACAAACAGACCTGGAGACATGTTTTTGTGTTTTGTTTCATTCACACGTTTAACACACAGACCCTGCGTGTTTATTCGGTTCTTTTTTCAGACCAAGAATTTGTTTTCATACCTGATTATTTGACAGAAGCAACATTAGGTCCGATCAGTCGGTAATGGAGGGAAACAGGGGCAGATTTTTGACATTCAAATGTCTCTTATTCAGAAACTAGAGGGACTATTGAAATAAGTAAAGTATCAGAATGTAGGAAAGAGTTACACTCCAACAGGGTCAAGTTAAACCTGGGATATTCTTTCAAGTTGTTGACAAAAAATAAAAAAACTCATGTCAGTAACAGAGGGAATGAAATATGCAGCACTTTTTGGGCAATAAATCCAAACAGTGATAACTCTTGGTTCTCACTTCCATATCCTTAACAAACTGGTTTGAATATTTGCTTCATATAGTTTTCTACCATATGGTACAAGATTAGGTTGAAAAACCTAATCTTGATTTTTTATTAAGAAAGTTCATGGTAACGGAGGGAAAAGTAACGTAGAGAAAATTGTACAAACAAGTAGAAGGTGCAGGATTTTACATCATTTGTCGCTTTTTTCTTCTGAATACTTTAATATTACTTCAAAATGAAAGAAAACTATTTTTATTAATTATTTCAGTCCTTCCAAGCAAATTTTTTTATCATTTTAAATATATATATATATATATATTTTTAATCCTGTACCTTCATCAACAGTTCAAAGATGGAATAACACAAGATATGATGAAATACATCCATTTATTTACATGGGTGAGTATTTTAGGCCGCAGATGGTTCAGAAATTGCCAAAATGACCTATCCTTTTATAATAGTGTAACCCGTGTGACCTCAGATGACCTCGGATTCTCGCTACACTTTTTTTTTTCAGCATCGGGGGACGGGGACTTGGTGACAATCGGTCCATGAATGGCGGAATTATCGCGAGTGGACAGAGACACACACACACACAGGGTGAATACAAAACCTTCGGGGACCAGGTAAAAATAAAACTGAAAAAAAAAAGAGCACAGGCATGGTAACATGACCGTACATCAGGGGCATAACAGAAAAAGTGCAGAGGGCGATGAGAAAACATAACATGAACACAGCAGTAAACTGAGCAGAAAACTTAGACAATTACCATCATTTCCGGACTGTAAACTGCTACTTTTTTCTCACACTTTGAACCCTACGTCTTATAAAACGCTGCGGAGATTATATGGACGGATTCTTTGTTTGGCACATTGTTCATTCATATTTACAGTCTAATGAACTTTAGTGAGCGTGATACGTCTTAATGACCCGTATGTGTTAAATACAGGTGAATGTGTAAATAAAGAGAAGAAACGTCTCAAACTTCAGTAGCCGGACATCCACTCGTACCTCATCGATAAACCTGATCGATCCCCGCCCCCGGGAGAGTCTGAAATCTGCTGAAATGCTGTGAGACACTGACACATTGATATGGAGCGTAAGACATAACATAACACCAGACAGGGCAGCGGCTCTTTAGAGGCTCTAGTGCAGGGGTCTCCAACCTTTTTTCTCCAGTGAGCTACTTTTATAAAACAAAAATGCCAGACAGCTGTCAATTTCAGCAGTCGCAAAGAAACTGAGTAAAGAAAAATTTTAAGTTATGAACTGACCACAGTGTGTCAATGTGAGGTGGCCTAGCGGTGTGTTTATGTTGCACTACCTTATTACTTTTGTTGAATTTCGCCAAATTTGTGTTAGTGCGTGTGGTCAGGGGGAAATGGGGGAGTTTGTTGTTGTTGTTCTTGTTTTGTATTTGTTGTGGGTGTTGCTTTATGTTTTTGTCTTTTGATTTATGCTGATTATTATAATTGTTAAATGTTGATTGTTGTATTTTTTTTAACGTTATATTCTGTTGTCCTTATAAATAAAATAAATAAAACTAAAGCTTTCAGAAACAATAAAAGCATGAACTTGTCTGAACTTGAAAACGTTCTTCAAGATGTGAGACACCTGTGGCTTATATATGTAAAATATAAAAAATTTGTAAAAAAAAAACATAGGGCTGGGCAAAAATTTAAAAAATTTAATCGCTGAAGTTGTTTAATCACATGATATTATTATTATTATTATTATATAATATTATTATTATTATATTTATTATTTATACGCATGTTATACGCAAAACCAATTAATGAATTAAAAAGTAGAGTATAGTGCATTTTTATTGGAAATGTAAATGAAAGAACCAAACATTTGTTGTGCAAAACAGTATTTCTTTCACAGGGGAATCCTCAGAGTCTTCAAGGTGTTCAGGGAAGGCTCAAGAAAAAAATATTGAATGGACGTTTGTACTACTAATATATTTATTGAATATTTTTTATGCTGTGAGTAATGAACACAACACTAGTAATAATTTCTAGATCAGTGTTATAAACTTGGACTGATATTTCTTAGGAGACAAAGGGTAAATATAATGGAATGGAAATGGACCAATCACATTTTTTCTTCCAGTGGTATCTGGGTAAATCAGTGACTCCAGCACTGAACTAAAGAAACAAGCTCAGCTCAGGGCGCACGGCTGGTCCGGCCAGAGCCGGTGCCCGCGGCCGAACCCGAGGCCGGGCCCACGTCTCGCGGAGGCTCGGGCACGTTGCATCTCACGTGGTCAGAAAAAAGTGTAAAGAAAAGACGTCAAAACTTAAAGAAACGCTCGCGGTGGACTTTTTCAAAATAAAAGCCAGTGAGTAACAGACGTTTACAATAAAATTCATAAATAAATAATAAAAACTGTGTTAACGGCGCTAAAATAATTGTCGGCGTTAATGACTTAATTAGTTAACGCAAAGTTAATGCGTTAACGTGCCCAGCCCTAAAAAAAAATTGTTGATGCGCTTAATAGTCTGTCTACTCATCCACACAAAAGACAAAATAGAACCGGAACATAAATGTCATATATGAAATACTCTGCATGTCCTGCAATAAAAGGATCGAGTTCAGTCCATGAAAAAAAGGAACATAGAACAGAATGGGAGAAGGAAACACAAGCAACAAAACACAAAGCAGAACAGGAACAACTCAAATCGTCCCTTTGTGACACCGTAAAACACATTCTGGACTGGGACAAGCAAACATCACTGGGACAGAGAAAAACAAACACTGACGCTGGATTAAAGAGGCAGTCGAAATAGAGAAACGTGCCCATGGGTAGGTGGTGCTGTCGTCCTGCCTCCACCGGTAGGAAGACAGCACCAAAACCTGTTTAAATCAACTGAGCGACACGACACAGAAACATCATGGGAGCAGAACAAACTGTCAGGGAGGAAAACAAACTCTTGGTCTGATAAAAGATCCTAATAATATGAATTATCAGAAAACCAAATGAACCTCATTGGATACAAACCCTGCATGTTTATAGAGCGAGTTCTTCTCTCAAACTAAAAACACTAGAATCATTTGGATGAGTTCAACCCATTCACTGAGAATTATTACTGAACAAAAGGTAAAAGGAGCTGTTCACTTGGAAACTACCACTTCATCACAATGTGGAACAGAGTGTTGCTCCAGTGAGCTTTGGGGATATTGACAGAGTAATAATAATCAAATGTTACTCAAACATATGTGAATGAAAGAAACACAACTTCAGGTCTGTTTTTGAGGACATAGAGAAATCTCCTTTAAGATCATCAGAAATTGTAAGAAGAAAAAAAAAAGGAGGATTTAAAGAGCACATTTTCAGGAGCCTGTGGTCAGTCTGAGTGTTTGGGAATTTCAACATAAAGGTGAGAGGGACTCACTGAAAAACTGTTAGTAAGAGACTGTGACTCTAATGTTTTTGGACAAGAACCTGTTTAAGAACACAAAGCAGCTCACCTGTAGTTCCAGCTAAATCAGTTCTTTCTGGTCAGATTGTGTTCATATTAAAGATTAAAAGATTAAGTGTTATTTTTAACAAGTGAATTCCAAATTCATAAAGTTTTTTGTCAATTTTGATATGAAACATACAAAGAATTGACATTGTGTATCTTACTCTCAATCTTCTAAATACATAATAATGATAATAAATGGGAAAAGTCCAAAGTTCTTCTTTAGGGAGACGCAGATTCCTGCTTCCTGGTCGCCTGGTGGTTCTAGAGTGTAGAGAGTTCAGCATCCTAACAGCCTGGAGGATGAAACTGTTAGTGAGTCTGGTGGTGCAGGGACAGAGGTGTATATGCGGTTGGCGTATATGCGGGTGAGGCAGGCGGTGCATGTGTGGGTGAGGTGGGCGGCGTATATGCAGGTGAGGCGGGTGGTGTACTTGCTGGTGAGACGGGTGGTGTATATGAAGGTGAGGCGGGTGGTGTACTTGCTGGTGAGACGGGTGGTGTATGTGTGAGTGAGGAGGGTGGTGTATATCCGGGTGAGGTGGGTGGTGAATATGAAGGTGAGGTGGGTGGTGTATGCGCGGGTGAGGCGGGTGGTGTATATACGGGTGAGGCGGGTGGTGTATATACGGGTGAGGTGGGTGGTGTATATGAAGGTGAGGCAGGTGGTGTATATACGGGTGAGGCGGGTGGTATATATCCGAGTGAGGTGAGTGGTGTATATGCAGGTGAGGCGGGTGGTGTATGCGCGGGTGAGGCAGGTGGTGTATATACGGGTGAGGCGGGCGAGTCTCTTGAGTTTTCACAGGAAGTCGAGGTTCTGTTGGAGTTTCTTCAGTGCTGCAGAAACATGTAGGATTCATCATCTCTCATTTTGGTGCTAATGGACTAAAAATCTCTTCTCGAGAAACGGCTGGTCTGAGCGAGCGGGAATCTGTGCTGATGACGTTTCTGGAAATGTGCAGGAAAGAGGCAGACGGGAATCAGCTCCTAATAACTCACTCCCCGCTTTTCCAAACAGGAACTCAGTGGACTTGTTTCTTTTATTAAGTGCTTTTAGATCAAC